GGCCACATAAAGAAGAACTATAGAAGAACTATAGGAATCCTAAGAAGATGGAGAATGATAACGCAAATGTGATATCTAAAGAATCATAGGATGCACTATTGTTGACAGTTCATAGTTCTGTTGAAGACTTGATATTGGATTCAGAGGCTTTGAATGTGGTAGGAAATCTACCAGAGGCCACAGTGTAGCGCAGTGATGGAAGTGAAGAGGAAAGTGGGTCCGGGGCCCCCATTCTTATTGTTCCACAGATAGATGTTGAAGAACCACATAACTATGAAGAAATCTTGCAAGATGAAAGTTCGAGCAAGTGGGAGCTGACAGAGTTTCCACCAGGGAAGAAGGCATTGCACAACAAGTGGGTGTACCAGGTGAAGACTGAGCGTGATGTCAGTAAGAGATATAAGGCTAGACTTGTTAAAAAAGTCTTTCAGCAGAGGCAGGTTGTTGCTCATGCAGTGGGAGTTGTAAGAAGAGAGAGTGACCCAAGAAATATCTTGGTGGTGCAAAGCTATGTGGAGCCTGCTGATATGTTGACTGAGGGTATTACTCTTCAGAAACTGAAGTTGTGTACAACTTCAGTTGGTCTTCTGGAGTGAAAACAAAGGCTTTGAGTTGCAGAGGTGGAGGATTCAAGTTAGAGGATTCAATGGAGGATTCAAGGTAAAGGAATCAGTTGAAGAAAAGGGTGACACCGCCAGTGGAGATTTAGTTCGAGGAAGGAGATGTTGTAGCTTGTGTATCGGTCTCCAAGTAGGACATTGTTAGGCCATGGAGACCGTTTCCCCGATAGCGAATCGCGATCTCTAGCAAACTCCCTCTCCCGCATCCTCTCGAAACGGCGCTCCCGTTCCCATCTCCCTCTACCCCTCTCCTTTCGTTTTTTCACGAATCGACGCCTGATCCCGCTCTCGATCGCGAAGAGTCGCATCTCCCTGCTGTCGCGAACCGTTCCCGCCTTCTCTATTTCGTGAAGCGAAGCATCCATTCGCTCCCTTCTCTTTGTGATAAAAAGAGCGGTGAAGTCACGGTGTTCTTCTTCAGGCTTCCTCGAGGCAGAGGAAGAGTTCTTCGGGCTTCCACGGGGCAGTGGAAGAGAAGAAGTGCAAGAGATAGTTCCTTGTGGCAGAAGAAAGAAGAAAAAAGAAGAAAATTGTTCTCCTTAGGCTTCTTCATGGTGACTTGTGACAGAAGAGAAATTAGGTTTATTTCTCTTGTATGTGTTTCTTCTTCGGTGTATCTCAGTGTAGAGAGAGAAGAACAGAGAGAGAAGAAGAGAGAGAGCAACAAAGAGTGAGAGATTCCTCTTGTAAGTCGAGGTGATTGACTGGTATAAATTTCTCAAGTAGTAAAATCCTCTGCAACTTCTTGGACGTAGGCAATTTGCCGAACCACGTAAATCTGTCTGTTCTTTTCTGCTGTGATTTTTCTCGTTCTATTTTTCACTTCGTCGATCGTTCTCCTGTTTCGTTTTATATATATACCACATCAATTGATATATTTAGATCTCGCACCAACAACAATATTTACATACATACCACCTATTTCATAAAAGATAAACATCAGCAATCCTAATAAAAGATATACATTAGAAATCCTGATACAAAACAACATCATGACTCCAATCATAATATGTAGCCCGTATGGTCCCGCCCCACTAAAAAAAAAAAAAAACTAAATAGTTTAATGCATAGCTGAGCCGGACTGTACACGTGGTGTATTGTGATTGAAATCATGATTAAGTTTTACATTAAGACTCCTAATGTAATATATTTTCCCCATTTCGTATATATTTACATATCTAGCACCTTAATTATATATATATATATATTATATATATATATATATCAGTAGAGTGGTATGCCAATAAAAATTAAAATTTTTGTTAGATATGTAAATACATAAGAATTGAATAGTATGGGTATAAGTCCTCCAGTGATGTTTTATATGCTGAGGTTGCCATCCTGGAAAACCAAAACATTTTTAATTTAATTGTGTATGTCATTGCTGTACATAAGAAGTAATACAATAAAAAGTGTAAGTTATATGATTATAAAAATAGAAGAATGAGTCACCATCAAATTGACATTCAGTTGCTTTGGAAGAAGTTATTGTAGCCTTAATTGATTAATTTAATTGTTATTAGTCAATTAAAGATTGGAAAGGGAGAGAGATTAGTTTCTGTGCCTTCCATTTATTACACAGTAGCCTAAAAGAAACAAGCCAAAAACATTTGCTCAAAGACTGCATCCAAAGATTGATGCGGGCTCCTATTTTAAGCCCAGCCCAGCCGCTATGGAATTTTATATGGGCCCAGTGTGGGTTTATAGTAAAAGAACGTCGACTTCGAACTGAAGCCATCAGAAATTAGAATGAGAACATTTAATCAGAATGCCTTATGAGATATTTTTCAGCAGCATTTGTTTTATTTGTATTACTTGTAGTTAACATAAAATTGGGATAAGAGGAAGAGCGAGAGGGAGAGGGAGAGGGAGAGGGAGAGGGAGAGAGAGATAGCTGTAATTACTAATAATATTACAATATAAATAAAAGATCAATGTTAGTTATACAAACATAAAATATTTGTATGTAATGAGTTGAAATGGTCTATATATATACACATTGCGTAAGGAGAAAAGTTGTAATGAGAGCATCCTTATATATTATGTCATGATGACAAAACATATGATGAAAACTAATGGAAACTAAAAACAAACACTCACAAAAGCAAATGACATTTGGTAAAAGAAGGAAAAAATAAATGTTTAAAATTAAGTTTTCTTGCTTTTATTTATATTTAAATATCATTTATTTAAAGCTCTTTTGTCACTCAACATGCTCAGGCTTCTATACCTGACCAACCTCCTAAACTCCCATTAGATTGGCTAGCTGATCATTTTATATTGTATTGGATTCTTCACCTCAGTCCTCTTAACAACTCATACCCAGTGCTTCTTCTAATGACCACCTCATGATCACTTATGCTAAGTCGAGTAAACTTAAACCAATCCAAAAATTGAATATGTTACATCATCTCTACTCGTCAAATGGATAGAACTTTTTAAACTTAAACCAATCCAAGAATTCCTTGCTCTTCAAAATCGAGGGATTTGGGTTCTTGCTCCGCCACCACCTAATTAGCCTATTCTTGGATGTAGTTGGATATTCTGTACTAAGTTCCATTTTGATAAGACTATCACTCGGTACAAAACTCGTCTTGTTGCTCAAGGCTACAAACAAGAACGCATGGTATTAACTACTGCGAGACATTTAATCTGGTTGCCAAGATAATTACTCTTCATATTTTTCACACAATTGCCTTCATTAAAAACTAGCAAATACTTTAATTGGACATTTCCAATGCTTTCCTACATGGTACTTTATAAGAAACTGTGTATATGCAACAACATTTGAGTTTTATCAATCAGAGGTTCCTAAACACGAGTTCTTACTTCAAAAAGCTTCATATGTTTTGAAGCAATCTTCTCGTTAATGGTTGACTACCATCTCTTCCTTTTTCATGGACCAAATCTTTAGTATTAGTAATGTCGATCAATCTCTCTTGATATTTTACCAATCATATCAACACATATTTGTTCTACTTTATGTGAATGGTTTTTTTATTACGAGTACGAATATCACTGTTATTAATGCTCTAAATGCCCAATTAAGTACTAATTTTCAGCTCAAACATCTTGGTAATATAAATCCCTAGGAATTGACGTAATTCAGAAATCAAAGTTCTTGTTTCTCACCCAACAACATTACTTCGCTCAAAATTTGCAAACTACCGAAATGATGGACTGGAAACTCATAACCACTCATTTACCTAGCAAACTCGACATGTCATAATGCACCTAAACCTTTTCATAAACCGACTAAATTTCATCACTAAATTTTGTCACCTTACCGAAACTTTGCAATATTTAACTATCACTCGACCGAGTATAGCACATGCATACCCACACTACGCATCCCTTTCAACACCTTAAGAGGTTGCTTAGATATCTTCAAAAAACAATTGACTATGGACTTCAGACTTATAATGGCTGATACACCTAAAATATATAGTGTTTTTATATATATTTTTATGTCTATTTTTGAGATATTACATTTTAATGAAAGATATTTGTGTGTTTTTCTTTTAGTTACAATCAAATGGATGAAAAATGTTAAAAGATGTGAAAAAAGTTCAAATTTAGAGCGAAAATGAAGAAATGTGCAAAAATGAACTGAGAAGCCTAAGCACCCATGTCTGATGCCTAAGCGCCCAGGTCTGACGCCTAAACGCCAGGTTCACCGCGCTTAAGCACTAGAAGCAGTTATTTGATGATTCATTTAATTTAGACAAATTTTTGAAGAGGTGTTTGAAGCAACCCTTGGTAAAAACGTGAGAAATATCTCATGGACACAAAAATTCAAACAATTGACTTTTAAGGAGGCAACTTCTAGAATATTAGTTGAATGGAGACACATTTTGAAGGTACACCAAGGCACCTTTTGGATTTTTATTAGAAGAAGACTTGGATTATCGCGACAAGAGGCCAGCCACCCATAAAATTTACAGCCATCATCCATCCAAGTCACTGTCAACGCCGTCCACTTTCTTTTTATTTTATTTTGAGTGTTTAATTTGTATTGTGAGTGAAGGAAGAGAATTAAAAGGAACTTCAAGACATTTGGTGGAGAGGATTAAAGTGTTTATCTTTGTGACTACACTTGGTTTTAATTTAGATTTCTTGTTTGTGTGCATGATTTATACTTTTAAACTCATGTGTAGTTGTTTTTTCTCTATAGATTCTAACTTGTTTTCTTTATCTTTTTTCTTAAAATGAAAAGTGATTAATTGTTGAAAGTAAGTTATGTGAAGTATTAGACTTCAATGTTGGAAGAAGTTGTGATGATTTAAAACCTTGGACTTTATTTACTTATTGATTTAGCCAATTAAGATGTTAATACATGTTGTGAGGCATGTAAGATATGAATTGGTATTGTGTCAGTCAACAAATGGTTTAGAATCACATATTGATTTTATGGATGAGAATGTAGTTCATTGGGTCGAGTGCAAATAAATAGGGAAATAAACTTTCAAGGATGTAGAATTAGATGACTTTAGAGTGACCAACAAAAGCCCGCAATTTGATTTATAGTTTTAGGTTTTGATACGAGATGTTAGCCCCCAGGTGGAGGGAGAAGAGGGAACTCTAGAGTGAGAGCTTATATCTTCCCTACCTAACCGATCTTCAAGACTATTCAAACTATAGATTAACCAATGTTCTTTATAGCAACTCTAGTAAGGGTAAAGAATATTATTGTTCATATTTGACACAACACATTTAGAATACTTTCACAACATAATTTCTCTACTTATTACTGATTCATGATAAAGAAAAAGATATTTTACTTAAAATGCCTTCATCTTGCAAGTATTTAGTTAAGTTAATTAGTTACTTACTTTATTTTCATATATCCAAAATTATAAAAAGAATCAAATTTGCATTTCTATTTTAGCATCTTAAGTTTAAGTAAGAATATTGTGCTAAGTAGATGTTTGTCATCTAAAATTTCTAAACTTTCTAGTTTTATAAAGTTCATATTGCTAATTTCTCTATGGGTTCGATATGCGGGGCTTAATCAAAAAGTCCCACATTACTTGATAACAATACGTATACTTACGTAGTATCTCATATTTAAATATTACAATTGCATTCTTATTTGTTTCATAGTGGAAAACTTACATAGCTTTTGCTTTGGATCAAGTTTTTGACTTTGTTGCAAATTAAGAATAACTATTAAGGAAATTAATCATATAATTGCATACATCACATTTTACATCTATATAAAAAGTCGAGATCAGTGACCTTATTATACGACCGACATTTGTGCTTTTTTGGGAGATACTCTGATCATTTGTAAAATGAAGAAGCTGCATATTGTTGCTCTCTCTTCCATCGAAACCGAGCATCAATTGTTAGCTAGTGCTACAACAGAGTGCGCAGGGTTACATCGGCTTCTGGTTGAATTTGGAATGCTAAAACATCAGCCCACAAAGCTTTATTGTGGATATCTCGGCTACGATGATGACAAATAATCAAGTGTTTCATGTTCGTACTAAACAGATTGAAGTTAACTAACATTTTATTGAAGTTCAAATTAACTTTGGTGAAACCTAGATCCGTCATTTACATACTCAAGGTCACTTTGTCGATCTCTTTACAAATGAATTGCCGAAATCGTGTTTTAATATCTCAAAAGAATAATGCATGTTCTCTCTAAGAACCCTCTTCTTGAAAGGCGTAATAACCATGGTATTGTTTCTGCTCTGTTATAGGTGTAACATATGTTATTAATTATCTTAGGGGCTGTTTGGTTTGCTAAAAATGAGTACCTTATAAAAAAACTTGCAGAGTATTGTTATTACAATGTAGTTGCTTGGCTTACTGTAAAATAAACACACAACTTTATATTTTTTCTTTTGCATGAAGTAAATTGAAAATAATGTAATAATATATTTGGGGAAGGGGTGAGTGGGGGGCGGCAGATGGCTTGCGGCGGGCTGCAGGGAGTGGTGGGCTGGTGACAGCCGGTGGGTGGTGGCGACGGACAACAGTTTGCCGATAGCATTTTGTAGTGTAATTCAAATTTGATAAAATCGACCGAATTCTAAATTCAACCAAAATGAATTAAAGAGTGAACTTTCACACTTTAATTCATTGAAACTTTACATTGTACTTGTACTTTTCTTTCTAAACTTATAATTTCCTCAAATTCCTATAAATGATTTAAAGAACACCAAAAATCTTTCCAACCAAACAGCCCCTTAATGACAATTTGGGTAATATGCCTGTTGGGCATGTTTCTCCTTTAGTATATATATATGGGTGTGTATAAGCCATGATCATGTATTCAAAAAACAGTCCTCTAATAAATTTATGTTGCATCAGTCTTTACATTATACCGAACTCCAATTCAGGCTAATAATACTTTTTTATTTTCTTAGAAAAAGTTCAACTTTAACAAATCTTCCCCTTGAACCAATGAAAAGGAAAAATAAAGAATGGCTGCCAGCCTTATACGTATTACATGCCCAAAACAACAAACATACACAACAATGACACTGAAGGTTTAGTATTAAATAGGGACACTTTGGAGAACGACAGTTTCGACTGTGAGGCCTGGCCCGAACCCAAACAATACACCCCACTCAAGGCCCTCCCCTGTGGTAGCCTTGCCTTCTTTTGCAGACCTTTTGCGCATCTCATCAAGAGCAAAGTGCACGCAGACGCTCGACATATTACCGTACTCTGCAAGCACATGCCTCGAAACCGACAATTTCTCCGGCTTCAACCCCACCCTCTCCTCTACCTGGTCTAGAATAGCTCGGCCGCCAGGATGCGGCACCCAGAAGATTGAGTTCCAGTCCGAAATGCCAAATGGGGTGAAAGCCTCTTCCAAGCACTTGCCAACATTCTTAGAAACAATTTGCGGAACATCCCTATGGAGCGTGGCAAGCAGGCCTCCCTCACTTACATGGCCTCCAATAGCACCCGCTGAGTCAGGCAGCAAAACTTGAGATGCAGAAACTATGACGAAACTAGCCCGTTCATCAGCCGCCTCATCTGGATCGGCGCCCACTATAACTGCAATAACTGCGGAGGCACCATCGGCAAATAAAGCCTGGGTCACAAGGTCATCCTGATGCTCCTCAGAAGGTGCGCGAAATAACACGGTGGTGGTCTCTGCGCAAACCACTAGAACTCGCGCGCCTTTGCGGCTCTCAGCAAGACACTTGGCAAGGCGAAGCGTGGTTCCGCCAGCAAAACAACCCTGCTGATAGAGCATGACACGCTCAACATTTGGGTTGAGGCCAAGGATTTGGGTGAGCTGGTAATCAGCACCTGGTAAGTCCATGCCGCTCGTGGTGCAGAAGATTAGGTGAGTTATACGCGATTTAGGCTGCCCCCAGTCCTCAATAGCCTTGGTGGCCGCCTTCGCGCCCAGCTTTGGTATCTCCCGTATAGCAACCTCTTGCCTTACGTTTAAAGATTTGTCCATAAATGTGCTGAAGCATGGGTTTGCAGTGAGAAACTCCTCGTTCCAGACAAAATGGCGCTTTCTGATTGCCGTCTTGTCACCTGATGATTATTATTAATTTATGAAATCTAGCCTGTTTATATTATGATGAATGCGATTAAAGGAGATCGATTATATTAAAACAGACTTTAGGTAATTGAGATAACTTACAAATGCGTTGGAATTTCTTTTTGAGGTCGACCAAGTGCTCGCTATTGGTCACTCGGAAAAAGAAGTCTGGGTAGGCGCTCTGTTCAATGAAATTTTCTGGATTTGCCCTACCGATGGCCAAGATGGAGGCAAAGCCCTCTGCTGTTGGTGCCTTCTTGACGGACGGAAAGCTTGGCATGGTCAAAGCTTTGGTTATTTCGGTTAGAAGAAGGGGGAAGGGACAAGTGAAACCTTATAGTTGATGCGACTCAACTGATAGGGTGTAGACGAAGAAGTAGCTCGCACTTGGCCTGGTTTTTCATGATGACTGATAACTCATTTATATACTCGTGGATCGGTAGAGCCGAAGAGCAAAGAGAACTTGGTAGATGGCAGTAATCCACATCTACCATAGATATTCCACGTGGTCTACGGTCATCGCAATGCTGTGAATTGACTCTCCGCTCTTTCCACGAAATATGGCCTGGGAGTCGTGGCGGCTCTTTAAAGAAATCTTCTTCGAGGGACGGCAAATTTCTTAAAAAAGTTTTATTCAATTAAAGGCAAGTTTAATTTTGATAGTCAATAAACTTTTATCAGTCTGTCAAAATTTCTCAACTAAAAACATAACACATTTGTCACATTTTAATCAGTGAAACCTGCGCTTTTTCTTTCTCTTTTCGCTTGTATTTTTTAAAAACATAAACAACAAATATTAGTAATATTGATATTTATAAATATAATCTTGAATATTACAAAAACAAAAATAATAGTAACTAATATATAATATTACAAATCAACTTGATTGCCGAACACTGGAATTTAAAAAACAAAGTTGCTTATTGTTTTGCAGCCATAAATCATGCAGTTATTTATATAAAGTTTTTATAATATTATTTTGAATATTTGATTATTCTATGAGAACCCCTATCTATATCTGATGCTTGTTAGAAAATTCGCGGCAGTAGATTAATGAATTATTATCTTGGCGTTGCACGAGGATTCAACACACACTTAGATGAAAATGAATCAATCTGTGCTGACACTAGAAGTTTTTACGTGGAAAACCCGTAAAGGGAAAAAACCACGGGGCCTGACATAATTATGAAAATCCACTATAAGTTGATGATTACAGAAGTCCATTGTCCCACAGACGAGAAAGTGTTACTAGATTTTCTAAGGTACAACGTCAACTGACGACGTTTGGTTAGCGATGGTCGATGACATTTGATGACGGTCGGCGGTGGTTGCTTGTGGTGGACGACGACCGACGGTGGTCGTTGACGGTCGGTGACGGTCGACGACGATCGACGATGACAAAAATGATGTTGGACTTGAACTTCTTCTCAAAGCCTCAAGTTCTCTCTCAAGCTTCCCCCTCTTATGTGAGGGGTGGGGCTCTATTTATAGTGTTCTGGGTGCAATTAATGCATAAATATGAACCATTTTGATTGGATGGTCCAATGTTTTCTCTAGGGGATGCTTGTTGCTTGCTTTACTCCATCTTCTTCCTCTTCTCTGACATTTCATTGAGCAATCTTGGGCTCGTTGGATCCTTCTTGTCGAGATGCTCGATTCAACTATGAACTCGCTAGATTTGACGTTCGTCTGAATTCGACATTCATTTGATCTTTTTGATCTTTTAAATGTGTCCGAAAATCTTCCAAGAATGATTTAATCACTTGATCTGGGTTTGATTTGACTCGAATTGGACTAACTTTGATATCATTAGACCCGTCTCATTGAGTTGGTCAGTTTTACTATAAGTTCGCTGAAATCAGTGCTCTGGATGACTTTTAATTGAAGTTTGAACGTTTTTGCTCAAAGGTTGCCTCGAGATTTATGATGGATGATGGAAATTTGTTGGTGACGTATCAATGTCAAATAGGAGTGTAAATGAGCGAAGCTTATGCAAGCTCAAGCTCAGCTTATGTCTAACTCATTAAAAAATATCATTATTCGTGTTCGACTTGTTAATATATCAAGCACAAAAAATTTGTTCATTTCCGGCTCATTGAACATTATTATTTATATTGTAATATTCATTGAAATAGAATTTAATATATTTATATTATATTTTTAATTAATTAGAAATCTTTGTAAACTTGTAGCCAATTAAATTATTTAAAAATAATATATATATATATTTATCGAACTCATGAAGAATAAGATCAATCTCTAGAGATAACCTTTTACCAAATTACCCTCACTTTGTGGGTGGGTTTTTCAATATTTCTTCCAATTATTGAGCTTTGCCGCATCCCTGTGCTCACAACTGCTTTACCTTTCTCTTCTTCTTCTGTTTACACGAAAGAGGAATTCTCTTACGCCCTTTTTGGATTTCTTCCACCGCGAAGCTGCGAGCCAAACGACGACACTTTGCTGTTTGGGGCCGTAACGCCTCAAAAAAGCGGAGCCAAACGGAGCCTTATTCTGCTTCTCTGTTTTGCTTTTATCTTTTATGGTATCACAGCTCCCTGTTTTAAAGCAACAATGTAAGAGTCCTCGACTTCGGCACCAAGCGACAATCTTGCTGCTCTAAAGATCGAAGAACAACACATGACTTTTTTTTTTTGACTTGATGTTTATGATTTTTTCATTCCATGTAAAGTATATTGGCCTTATATGCTTTGCATGTTGCATATCTTGGATGTCCCATTGAGCATCCTTGTTTGGGGTGTCTCTCTGAGCACCCCCACCTTGGGGTATCTCTTTGAGCACCCACGATTGTGATTGTCCTCTCTACATACACCGTTGTGTTCACAGAGAATAAACACTTGCACATTTTACAAGGAGATGACTTACGTGTAAAACCACATGTCTCGTTCCCCACGACACCGCCTGAAGTGTCGTAAGGTATTTCACATCGTTCTGAATACGAGTTATGCTTCACAACAGTTGAACTCGTATAAGGCACAATGTATGTCCACTTAAACATATGATTCTTAATTGTATGAATCATATGACCCGAGTATGTTTCACTCTTTATCAATTATATTCAGACCCTTTATAGGGCTAACATTTAAGAATTCAAAGTCACCTGCCCTATTATTAGATGCTTTAGATCATAATAATTTTTCTATTTGTGATGTCTTATATAGTTTCAACTTATCTTTAATTAATCCAATTTTTTCTATAGAATTTTTTTATATATCAACTTAGAACTAATCAATTTTCTCTCACCAACCTCTATCGAAGATAAATATGTTTTTTACCTCCCACCACAAAGTGATTCAATTCATATAATGTCATATATACTATTGCTCCATTAGAAGTTAATTATTATTAACAGACTTGATCAAGACCCTCTAAGCTTTCTTTAAAATTAGATACAGAATCGACATATCCTCAAGCAACTAAATGATTTTTTCAGATTCACTGTATCTCCCAGATACATTTCATAATCCAGAACTAAAGTTTCATTATGATAATAATAATAATAACAATAATCAATATTTTTTTAAGTTTGATGATTGCAAGCATATACATCTGTGAAAAACTCTCAAATATATATGATTGTCTCATATGAAAAAAATGTGCACACCAACTTAGTTAAAATATTAATATACTTGAGAATAATATGACAATAAGTGAGTCACAATTATTGTGATATGCCTCTAATGCATACACACACACAGACAAACACACGCACATGCAATACATGTTTGCATGTGTATTTGTGTACGTATTATTGAATTCACTGCATGAGGAATAAAACATTGAAGGATGAGAGAGAGAGAGAGAGAGAGAGAGAGAGAGAGAGCAATAGCCCAGTAATGAACATTAAATTTGTGTAACATTTGTTCATGATACGGGCCCCATATTTACAAGAATGAGTCATTATATAATTACATATTGTACCCCTAATGTTCATAAGTATGGAGGGGGTATTTCAGTTCGTACATAAATTCGGCCTTTGGGGGCTGAAGATGTGGTTGGGCGGCCATTAAGCGGGGTGGCTACTAAGCCAGCGATCGTTAGGTCGATCGGCTTTATGGAAGGTCTACCATGAGACCAGACAGGCCTTCATGTTGGGTGGTCGTTAAGCCCGATGTTTATGAGACCAAGCGACCCTAAGTCGGGCGGCTATTTGTTGAAATTCCACATCAACTACCTTGGAAATGGAGGATCTGTTTCAATTCCTCGATCTATTTGAGTTTGAAGGTGACATGTTCGTCTGAGCAGACCAGGTTAATTGTGTTCTTCAGGAGTGATCTACCCCTTATTCTTCTGAGGCGCATGGTCCATATGTAGAGCGGGATCATTCCAATTCATTTCTTAAATATCTCAACCCAATTGCATGCCTTATTTTTTTTTAATTTGTTCCGTTGGAGTAGTTGTTAATATCGACAATTTAATTGTAGATTTACAAAATTTGAACTTCATTGAAACATACTTTTTAAAATTATTAGCTCTGCATTTTAGTGTGTTGAAAAATTTAGGGCGAAGGAAAAACATGAATCGACACAAATCCAGAAGAACACATGAAGATTTACGATGTTCGACAAAGATGCCTACGTCCTCGGGAGTAGAGTGAAGACTTCTTTTTCAATATTCAGAAAAGAGTGCAGAATATAAGATTCAAAATCTCAGTCTCAGAGACTCTTCTAAGGTTACAAATAAGACATATACATAACACTATAGTACAATATGTAATTACTTAAATTACCCATGTACCAAATTGCGAGGTGTTGCCTCCGCACTCCCAACCCATATAATGAAACTCCCCCGATTGGACAAATCCTTCCGCTCCACTCCACTCGTGGGCTCCGCTCCGCTCCAACATCTATATCATTTATGGTATATGAGCCATACCTAACAAATACCTAACAAATCTCCATATCTCCATCTTGGCGAATATCCAACCCCTTAGGAGAAATACATATACCCAACAAATCTCCACCTTGACGAATATCGAGGCCCTTAAGAGAAAATACATAATGAAGTTTCTTAAGCACCAGTGTGGGTTGGCTCACCACGCTTCCGCTGCGCCCTCGCTCCCCCAACCTCTTCAATTCCAAGAGACATTTCTCTTCAATTCCAAGAGACATCTCTTCATTCTAAGAGACTCCAAATTCTGGTATTATGAGTCATACCTAACAAATCTCCACCTTGGCGAATATCCAGCTCCTTATGAGAAATATATCATGGAGTTTCTTATGCAGCAATGAGGGTTGGGCCACCATTTTAAGTAATCCCTTAATTAAGAATCCTTAATTAAATTTTCAAGAAAAATAGATTTCTCTTAATTAAATTTTCCTTACTTAACTTTCCCCGAAATCCATTTTTTTAACATCCAAGAAGATCTCCATGTTCATGTGGAGCTTCTCAGCATTCCGCTCCCCTTTGCTTTCGGGCAAATTCGAGCCAATTTCGGGCGCGACGCGACGAATAATATTTTTTTCCTCTATCGGAGTCGTCCGGTGTGCCAAATGTCGATTGGTCTTCGCCTAAGCTAA